TGCGTACTTTCCAATATTTCTCTGAGAACGGTATTTAAATGACAAACAAAAACATTTTTTTTCTAAAGTTAGCATTACTGTTTAAATTAAAGCACTCCACACCCAATCCATCGCTAAATAATTAAGTATTCAAATTCTCAAATGTTATTTAAAAACCTAAGCGAAGCTAGGCAGTATGCCTAGTATATATATATATAGATGATCAGTGTGCCACTATAATAAGCCTATAATAAAGGGTGTACAGTGTAGTGCTGCTATTAAGGACCAAACAAAGTGTCATAATGTATAACAATAATAATATAGTATTAGACTGATATTTACTAGCTGCTGCTTAGAATAACTTGCATATAATTCTCTAATTATACTAATTCATACACAGAGTTAGTGTTTGGGTCTAATAAGCTTAGAAAGTAGTATAGTAATTATTATGGAAGAAAAATAGTAATAATATTAGGCATAGGCCTACATACTTAGTCTACTTATTATTTACTTCATACCGGTACGCAAACAGTAATAATTACTTAAGGCAGTGGTGGTTTACTTATGTTTATAATATTAATTAAAACTTAATTTATAAATCCATGAAGTTCATGAATGATTTTAGATTGTTTTAGTGCTGACATTGTTTTATTTATTTTACAGGATCTCTTTTTGTCTAGATGTGAGCGGGTGAATGGATTATTTTGTATTATTTTATTTGTTGCGAATCTGGGAGTGCATGGTGGTCGAATAGGGAATGGCCACGGGGTCCCCTTCCGCTCGAAGCGGTCAGTATAAATTGGCCGCTCGGACGATTTTCTTCCTTTTTTTGACCCGCGGCGAGATGTAGGTCGGGTCAGGTTTCTGTGAGGCAGCGTGGCGCACCTCACGCGTGGAGGTATTTGTTTTTTTATACTTTATCTTTAAGTGATTTGTATGAGTGCGACTGCCGATGTTTCTCGTTTTCTTTCATTTTCGTCTAAAACGAGATAGTGAGCATCGGCATGTCTGGTATGCACGTGGTGTGTTATTTTGAGAGATTTTAAATTTGTATTTTCTAAACCCTTGGCGTGTGTTTCGGACCACGTGGTTTAGGCCAGTGTGTTTAGGAGTGTTTCCTAAACTAGTGTGAATGCGTGTGTGCATTTACCTGATTGTTTTATGATGTGTTATTGACTAGGATTGGCTTAGTCAATAGTCAGTTGTTTTAGACAGTAATTAGATTAGCATATTTTAGTTGCCTCGAGTTTTAGGTTGTTTAAAATTAATGTGTGTGCTGTTTCGTGCAACGTCATGTTGAGTATCGCTTGCTTTGTGTCTGCCTTCATTGGGGCCTTAGCGGAGTGTGTTAACTTTAATGTTATCAATATGGATATTGTTTATGTAGACCAATGGCTTCGGGCTTCCTTGTGTAGGAAAGATTGGTTCTACAATGAATATGTTTACACATTATTTTTAAGTTGCTAGTTCTTCTTTAGACAGTGGTTAGTTGTTTTTGAGAATTGCTTTTAGAATTGTATAGTAAGGATTAGTTTTACTCGAGGCTTTAGCTAGATAGTAGTAGTAGGTAGCATTTTGAACTTGTGTATATATTTATGTATATATCTGCCATTACCATGCATTTTTCTTATGTTTTCCTTTTCTTTTTCTCTTCCCCCCCCCCTTCCAGTGAGGTTGCTTGGGCAACTTGGCTGGGTGTTTTGTTATATATGAATTGTTTTGTTTGTAAAAAGTTTGTTGTGTACGTATTGTGTTCTACGTAATGTATTGTACGTAACGTATTGTACGTAGTGGTTTTACGTAGTGTTTTGTTTGGTGTGGACTTTTGGATGGCGAGAATGGATGAAGGGAGGTTTCTGTGTGTCAGGGCCTGGACCATCCTAGACATCATAAGTCGGCGCAACACCATCAAATGGTCAAACGTAATGTTTGGTGTTGTTTAAATTTGTTTTGTTACGTTAAAGTTCTGTTTTGTTAATCTATTTTTTTTTATCATAACTTTGGTTCCATATTTTGTTAAATAAATTTTATATTATTGTTAAAAGTTTTTTTGTTTTTAATTTAGACTAAGGTTAGGGTTTAACCACTGTGGGTTCTACCACGGTTGCACTGACCGGACAGATTAGTCAGTTAGATAAGCCTAGAAGGGTAGATATTAGGTATCCCCCCCCCCCCCCTAGCAGGGCTTACATAGAGCGGGCGATAAATTTTGTCGCAAAACTGTTCTGAATGAAATAGATGGTAGACTTCAAGGAGAAATTAAATGAAAGTGAGGTTGGTGTAATATTTAATTATTCATCTTATGAAGTTACAATCTAATAACTAGGCCTATAGTACATATTGTACATATTACTTGCAATTATTGTTTTTAAAAAAATGGCATAATAATATTTGATTGACATTATTGCATATAGTATTTATACTTGCAAATAAAATCCTAATCCTCTAGTATATAAAAAGTAGCAGTTATTAAATTATTTTTATTTAAATTATAATTTAATGTGTGCATGCCTGAAGATAAAGTAAATAAATCTAGAAATGATATATAGTTTTTTTTAGTAGTGAAATTTTTTTTTTACAGGAGGGGTAAAGATTCTTACAAAAGAATTCTGTCTGAAATAGAGAATGCATATTTCTTTTGTCACTAATGTCTAATTATTCATCTATTTATTTACCTGATGTTGAAGGTGTTACTGTAATTGAAATTGAACACTTAGAAAGTGATGTAGAGAGATTAAAGGGATTGGTTCAGAGCAAGTAAAGCGGTAGACTTTATTCTGATATACATTCATTAGCTGTAGGCCTACATTTATAAGATGTACATTCATAAGATGTAAGCAGATGGTAGTCCAGCTAAGTGGTTAACTAAAACACATAAATGTTTTCTATTATTTGTGAGGAATAGGAACTGACCAACATAGTTTTTAGCGCAAGGCCTTCCGGCTGTTCAAGATTATTTTATTTCACACCATGGATAAAGACTATCTTAGTATACTGGGTGAACGGATTTTCTAGATCTACATTACACAGAGGAATCCAGATAAATTTTGAAGTCTTTGATATAGCAGAAATAAATCAATTCATTGGCTTCTAACAGTTATGTGTCTGGTTTCATTGCATAGGAAAAAGTTCTAAAAATGGCCAAATATCAGCATTGTAGATATATTCTAATTTCTTTCATATCAACAAGTTTGAGTCATTAAAAACTACTTTGCATTTAAAACAATAACAATTTCAAATTATACTAGATAGAGGTCCTGCTGAGCAAAGTGATGCTGCTTATTGACTTACACAATAAAAAGATGCATGATTACTAAGAAATATGACATAACTGGTAATAGCAATATTGTGAAAAAAATGTAAATTACTATCTTGTAAATGAATTTCTGATGCTCCAGATTTGGGATGAATAAGTGTTTTACTCAAATTAATAATTACTCAATACATTTTCAATGATAAGTAAAAAATAATTTTTTGTCAATTTTAAAAAAATGTTACCCACCGTTGCATACTGTATCAAATCTGATAAATACTGTTATTTTGCAAAATAAACATTATTTGAAAAAATTAATTCAATTTGCTCATTATTTATGCTCTCTACACACCACAGCCCACCTTTTAAGATTTTTTTTTCTCAAAAAGCTTTCACAAAATTAATTCATGAAATGAAGGGTTAAAATTAAATAGAACTTTTTAAAGGTCACCTGTGATGTCGGTGTATGAAGGGATAGTGTGGTCAGACCCATGTTCAGCCGAAATCGGTGTTTTTAAAAGACAAAAACGCGTCTTTTTGAATGTGGGGGTAGGGTTATTTTTGAAAAAGTCACAGACTTGATGTCATTTATGGATGATCCCCGAAACCCACAGTCATCCAAGGTATGACGGGTAAGTCTAGTATACTACTAAATTAAAGTTTGTTTACAAGATTGCATTTTTTTGTCTGCTTGTTTACGTGAGAGCATCTGCACTATATGTAGAACTGTAAAATACATATTTATAAATAGAATACTGTTCTTTTTTACCAAACTGTTAATCACGATGGGTCTGTTGGCTATTTTTATTAGGTTCCAACACTATTATCAATTTTCATTAGAATACGCGGGGCAGTTATTCTTATTTGATTATCTAATTCGAGAATACAATGAATTTATTTGGAACTATTGAAAAACTAGACTTAAGCCACAAGCCAGCCGTAGATTCTAGATCTAGATATCTAGATCTAGCTCTATCTAGATCTAGAATCTATGCCAATAATGAGATTCTATACTAAACTATTTTAGTACTTAATATTTTTTTTTTTATAAATCTTTGTTAGTTTTGCTATGGAGTTGGCTAATTTTGGAAATAACTCAACTTTCTTACGCTTAGTATTCCACTAATTTTGCATCGGAAGTGCCCAGCTAGCTGTGATGATAATGTAATAGTTACCAAGCGGGTGGTACGAGTTCGAGACATATTATATCAGTGTTCATTTTTAAATTTTTTTTTTGTTTTTAAAAGATGTAAATGCAAAATTGCCTTTCGGAACTTGGCGGGACACGAGGCAGGAGAAGTAGAGTTCACTTGTTTCTGTGACCTCTGCATATGAAGGGATAGTGTGGTCACACCTATGCTCAGCCGAAAATGTTGTTTATGGATGACCCCCGAAACTCACGATTATTCAAGAATAACGGGTAGTCTAGTGATATTTGAAATCATTATATTTAAAATCTTTACTTTTATTTTTAATCATGAATAAAATATATACTAGAGAGTGGTCATCATTTATTAAATAAACATACTGAAATATAACTATATAAACAGGCATAATAAAATCTCATCACATCATGGAAGCTTTTATCATGTAAAAGCCAAAATCAGGATTTGAACCAAAAAGCTGCATTTTACACCAAATTGTATTATAGAAAGCATTATTTACTTTTATTTTTTACAAGTTTTAAAATTCTAGCATAAAATAATACAACACACTACTGAGCCTACAAAAAAAAATCTTAAGATAGTACTGAGACTAAATTACTTACTATGTAGGTCACAGTGAATAATTTTTTTTTCCCTCAAAGCACGACACACTATTAGAGTTTGACATAGCACATAGTAACCAAACTGGATGAAGTCGCGTTGTGGCAACTTTGACTTTTTAAGAATTTGTCTAGCTTTCCCTAGATCCATTCCTGCATTTGAGAGAACAATCAAAATAAAACAAGTAAAATACTAGTACTTAAAATAGTTAAGTGTAAACAAAGTCGGCACAATATTTCTTAGATCTTAGTTGGTAGGGTGCAGGTTTGTCCACGCTACTGTTCCAACACCCCAGTATGTGCTGTATTAATACTTTGAGTGTATTATGATCACTCTCCGCAAGTTGGTGGTGTTTTTTTTAATAAATGAATTGTTAGCTAAAATGTAATCCTTTGCAAATTTCAACACTATACAAAAACAATTTTTAAAGATTACCAATTCAATAAAATCAAAATTACAAAGGGCATTTGGAGGATTATTAATACCTTGGATTACTGGCATTGAAATGTATAAGATACCAGCTATAACTTCGAAGTGAGACAAACCTCTTATCTCATACATGCAAAGTACTTCATTTGAATTAAAATCGGGATGCAAGATGTCAACCTACAAGCAATTAGTAGTTATTTTTAGGAAATAAATCATCGGGAGGGAGAAATTATAAAGTTCGTATTTAAAAAATTAAAAAATCAAACAATAAAATAAGCTTCATTACTTTACAAACTAGAGCTGTAAGTTCACACCTGTCTGTAAGGTAAAAAAAGGGTAAAGTTTTCTTTCGAACCTCACGGTCCAAGTGAGGTAGAGTTCATTTGTTTCTGTGAACTCGGTAAATGAAGGGATTGTGTGGTCAGCAATATGCCCATCCACGTTTACTTTCCTCAATGTTAACCAGGGCGCCATTATAGCTGGGTGGACTAAGGGACGATATACTGAATTGATCATGGATTCAAACACAACACTTTCAGGTTCGCAACCGTATGCTCTAATATTCTACCATATCGTCCAACGACTCTATGATACTAAAATTTAACTTACGATTTTCAATGCAAGTCTTTCATTTGTATATTCCTCCTTTAAAATTATAACTTTGGCACAACTACCTTCTCCTAACAATGGAGCATCTGAGGAATTGTTAACTGGCTTAAATATAATGTCCTGTAATAAAAAAAAGAAACATTATTAGGCCCCGTTTATTCAGAAATGCTAAATTAAAACCATATGAATGTCTAATATGTATTACACATTAAAACATGAAAATATTTTAATTACAAGTGATTGTTACAAGTATTTTTTCTCAACTCCTACAGTCTATTTGCAAATAAAATTCTAACTCATTTCTAATGGAGTGTTTTTCTTTCAAGCTCTGCGCCGACTCCAGGGGGTGGGGCGCCAAAAAGGGTAGACAAAAATTTAAATCTCATTTTGAGCTGCAGATTTGAGTTATAAACAGTCAAGTTAAGACATTTTATGGCTAAGAGCCTTTGCATACTGATTTAACTGTTTTTCTATCAAGATTTTGCAACTGTAAAGCATATGCCCTTAAGAAAAAGTGACCGGAAAAAAACCGCTTTCCGGCTTTCCTTGATAGGGGGGGGGGGGGGAGCGCTTTTTCGAAGAATAAATTTACAGTGGATTAATGTGTAGATAACCGTTATCACTTAGAAAAGAAACACATTGTACTAAAGCGTATTTTACTATGGTGTGACATTTAAAATGAGGTAGTGACGTTTAAAATTTGCTCAAACAACTTGGTCAAAGATTGTGGATAGGGGAGGGGGGGGGGGGCGCTTTTTCACAAACAAAAACCGCAGGCATTTTCTGGATCGGGGATTAGGTAACCTTTTTAACACTTAGAAAAGAAACAAATTGTATTAACGCTTAATGTACGATTTCCCTACCCAGTTTTGCTAAGAAATGACGCGACTAGTTTTTTGTACAATTCTTAAGATTCTCTCAACTCGATCGTGAGAGATCAGATACTTTTACTTGATGGCAATACATGTTACCTGGATCACTGCATTAAAGTGAAATAAATATCACGGATTCTTGTATCGCTATTCGATCAGAAAAATAGCAGAATGTTGGAGGGAATGGGTGGAAAGCGACACTCTTTGCCAAAATTTTAAGAGAGAAGAAAATTAGTAGATCTATATTGTACTGAATATATCATTTTTACTTTCTCGTATATACAAAGTACAGAAAAAGTCTTGCAATCGTAAAAAAAAATCGAGATTTTTGTAAATGTAGACGTTTTACACTTCCCTGAGTCGGAAAAACATAATTTTGCAATCTTGTCCGTATGTCTGTGTGTATGTGTGTGTGTGAATGTATGTGTGTCTGTAAACACGATAACTTGAGTACTGTTACAGCTAGGTTGATGAAATTTCAAATATAAGTATTATATCAAAATAGTAGATCGATATCAACTTTTGAGCTATTTCCGATAACCGGAAGTGTACTTTTTCTACTTTGAATTTTTCAAAACCTATAACTTGAGTACTAGATAAATGAAATTTCACACGTAAGTAAAAGATCTGATTCCCTGTCATCTGTCAAATTTTGAGTGTTAATTTACGTTATTTTCAATTTCTCGAAAATGCATGTAAATTTAAAAAGTACTAATAATATTGCACACTATTATGAACATCTTTATTTGGCGTTCGCTTAGGGCGCAATTCTTTTTTCTATGAGATTCTATTCTATTTTAAAAAGTTTAAGTATTTAAAACGAATTAAAAATCATAACTATATCCCTATTTCCCATCCCCTGTTGTTTTATATAAGAATATTCGAGAAAGTTTAGGGGAGATGACTCCCGGTTTATTTATCCTTAATATATGCTATGTATTTTCAAGTACATCTACATTTTTACTTTCTCGTATATACGAAGTATAGAGAAAGTCTTGTAATCGTGCAAAAAAATCTAGATTTTTACAAATCTCGACGTTTTACACCTCACTGATACGGAAAAACATAACTTTGCAATCTTGTCCGTATGTCTCTGTGTGCGTGTGTGTGTAAACACGATAACTTGAGTACCGTTACAGCTAGGTTGATGAAATGTCATATATAAGTATTTTATCAAAATCGTAGATCCGTGTCAACTTTTGTGCGATTTCCAATAACCGGAAGTGGAACTTTTTCTACTTTGAATTTTTCAAAAGCCTATAACTTGAGTACTAATTCAGATAGATAAATGAAATTTCACTTGTAAGTTAAAGATCTAATTCTCTACTATCTGTCAAATTTTGAGTAATTTCCGTTGACCGGAAGTACTAATTTACGCTATATCCGATTTCTCAAAAAAAAACGCAAGTAAATTTATAAAGTACTAATAATATTGGGCACTATTATGCTTATTTTGTTTTTGCGTTCGCTTGGTGCGCAATTCTTTTTTCTACTAGATTTTATTCTATTTTTAAAAATTTAAGTAAACGAAAATGATGTCTATATTCCGAGTTGCCATCCCACGTAGTGTTATATTAGAATATTCGAGTTAGGGAAGATCACTCCCGATTTATTTTATTTGTGAAACTTGTTATATGTCGCATTATTTGTGTTCCATTTATATTTAAAATAAATCTATGATGCCTAGCAAAAGCCTTTTTGTGGAGACTAAAATATTGTTCTTGACTTTTTTTTAACACATGCTAATTTCTATTAACGTACTCTCAGGAAACATGTATAAAATCGTATTAATTGTGTCATTAGTTTAAATTAAATAACAGTTTATAATTTATAATTTATATTTTAATATATATATATATATATATATATATATATATATATATATATATATATATATATATATATATATATATATATATAAATATATATATATATATTATGTTTAACCCCCCTCTGTGGCCAAAGCCCCGTTGTAGTCAAAGCCCCGCTATGGTCAAACCCCCTATGGTCAAAGCCCATCTGCGGTCAAAGCCCCTATGGTCAAACCCCCTGTGGTCAAAGCTCTGCTGTGGTCAAACCCCCTATGGTCAAACCCCCTATGGTCAAAGCTCGGCTGTGGTCAAACCCCCTATGGTCAAAGCACCTGTGGTCAAAGCACCTAGGACCATATTTCCGTGACCTGTTAAATTTATGGATCTGGTTGAAAAGCCGAATCAGGACTAAAATCCATTTTGAACGAAATTTTGTTTCATATTAAATTTTTGTATCCGGCGAAATTTACAAATGCAGTAAAAATTGCCGTATCTGAATAGAACCTCGACAAGACAAGACTCCTCGACAAAAATGAACTTTAACATAAAATTTGACTTAATCAGATGTTTAACTTTTTAAAAATGAATTAGTTTTCTTTAAGAAGTACTAATTTTCCGCTAAATAATGCACACATTGTTTTCGTTCATTTGGTGCGCAATTTTTTTTCTTCTGAACGCAAATAGTGAACTAAAACAACACAGCAATACTTTCCGTATTAAAATGAAAAATTCGCGACTGGTCAACGAATCTCATTATGAAATGGGTCAATATACACATATTAATACAAGTTCTTGCAAGGCTAAATAACAACATAAACTCATGATTTCTTGTTTTAAAAAAGTATGATGTAGGCTTATTCCACATCAACATAAAATATATTTCACTAAACCTAGCTCGATGTATTGCATCTACTTTATCAATACTAAATTTAGTCACATAAACAGCCAGTATTCGAGTATTTGAAAACAAGCATGTAATAATCATAGTAAATTTAATGTTGACTTACATCAGCAATAGGATGACTGGTCAGCACTAGCTCACTTGGACTTTTGTTGGTACGTAAATCTTCCACAAAAGATATTATTTCAGAATCATCTTTTACGATCTTTACCTTACCACCTTCTGTTCCGTCAGATGGACTATTAATGCGCAACATGGAAAAATCATTTAAAATATTGTGTGTAATTTTATAATTGAACAAAAATTTACACTTGCCAAAAGCAAAATAAGTAAACTTCTTGGTGCCATTCAACTTAAAAGAATCTTGAGTTGAATCAACAGAAAAGTAGCATTACAATTAGGGGACAGTGGTGAGAATTGGAACAGCGCATTATTTTTCAATTTTTGACTAAAATTTTAATGTACCCACATGAAACTAGAAGCGAAATTTAATGAATAACGTCCTTCCCGCTTCATTAAAAGTGACAAGGCTTAACTTTTTTTTTCCCTGTGCACTTTATTAGCGGCGGGGTTTATCTGGACATAATCCAATTTTTATTTTCGGTCCATTTTAAAATGTATAAACATGTTATACTACTTGTCATATAATGTTTACAAAAATCGGTCAATAAATAGTCCAAATAACGTAGTTCAACTTCGCGTTCTAAGATCTGCAAAAAGTAACCTATTTTGACCACAAACCCTGCACTGTTTACGTCTACAGTTTATCTGTGAAAACATAATGACTTTTAAATTTTGTGTCAAATGACTCTACAGTTTCTACCCAGAGTGATAACGACTATGTTAATCATTGAATAATAGCATAATTATTTAATTTATTGTGATTGGTAAAATTGGTGTTTTTTATAGTGAGTCTCAATTTGGCATATAGAGTGATAGTGTGGTTAGTACTATGCCCAGCCTCCTTTACTTTCCCTAACATGAGTTTGATACCCATCACAGTTGGGTGGACTCAGGGAAATTATATTGACTTAAACCCGGATTTGAAATTGGGTAATAGGTCTAGCTCTCTACCTTTAAGCCACGCCGTCACATTACACACGTATTAATATTTCATTGTCCGAAAAATATATAGAATGAAGGCCTAAACTATTTTGAATATCGAATCTAGTATTTTGGCCTACAATTTTTAAAGTTAATTATTTTACAATTTTCTGATGCAATATCCTACTTAATAGAATCAAAATGTAATTTCTTTGGCCTAATATTATAATATTATAGCAGAGGCGTCACGAGGCGGGGGAGGGGCGGACCTCACCGGTTGACATCATTTAGGGGGGTGACTTCAATGGGACACTTTATAGAAGAAACATGTTTTTGTCAGTATAATTAATGATTAATGAGAATTAAAAAGTATTTTAAGTACAACCACGATCCAGACATACTGGGGGTTGGGGGGAGGGAGGGGTGATACAGTAAACTATAGAGAAAACAATGCTATATGCAGCTGTATTAATAATGGACTATAGATAAACATCGTTTCTATTAACATTGGGGGGGGGGGGGGGTTGATACCCACTGCAAAGTCAATCGATAGCTGGGCCGGGATGTCACCATATCTGACAATTCATTATGAAAACGTTGCTTTGTTTCTCTTGACTTTTTGGTGGATTAAATGTGCTCACAAATTGACGCCATTTGGTTAAATCAGGGGGGGATGGCATCAATTGCAACTAAATATATATATATATATATATATATATATATATATATATATATATATATTATTTTTTTCTTTTGTGGGGGGAGGAGGGGGTGATACCTTGAGGCGCCACACCGGGTGACAACCGACCTAGCGAAGCCACTGTTAATAGGCCTAATAATATTAACTATTATAAGGCCTATGTTGCCTAGGTCTAATATCATTATTATGAAAATAAATAATGTATGCTAGCTCAAATTGAATAAGTATTATTCTTAGGTATATTTCATTTCATGTCTCTTAAAAAGGAAAATTACGTAACTGCTAATGTATTCTTAAGTGTTTACTTACTTTAACCTTCCACCTAGTTCTTCATCAAGAGGACGACTGCTTTCATCTTGGTATCTTGCCATGATGAGTGACTAAATTAAGTTGGCTTGGATGTTAATGTCAATAAATCCAGTAGTTGACAACAACAGCGTCGTTTCGTCGTATGTTATCTCTCAGTGTCAGCCCTTTTAAACACAACACCGCAGTGGGTAATATCATACCTACCTACTGAAGTAGTGTTACACACACACACACACTTATATATATATATATATATATATATATATATATATATATATATATATATATATATATATATATATATATATATATATATATACATATATAAGCAATGTGTTTTTTTTTGTCCGTCTGTCTTTATGTATTACTACCCCTTTCTACCGATCGACATGAATCTTTGAGGACAAAGTTTCCGGAAGAAAAAATCCATTTCACACGAGCGGCCCCCGACAGTGTGCGATTAGGTGCCCGGGTCTTTACCGTGAGCGCTATGTTTAAACTGTGAGATAGAGTATGAATAAAATGGGGGCGTTACAGTCATTTTCTTAATTGGATCAGTTGCGTTCGCCGGCACCCATGCTATGTGTAATTTTGCGCCCGAACTATCCCGTAAGCCATATGGCGCCTACGTTCGTTTTAGACAGTGCGAAAGACTATGCACTAAACATAATCAGGCGCGTCCGCGGCACACCGGCATTGGCGCCATGGAGCCCTTTTAGTTTTAAGGAGCACCCTTCAATGTTGACAAGGCGACCCAGACATTCGATAGTTAAACATAGCCCTTTACGTCCCCGACACTTAGGCGAGGACTGATTAAATATGGTATTACGGTGAGTGAATAACGTACACTCAAGGCTTTTGTACAGCAAGCCCCATGGCGTGCTAGGCGGTAGTGTAAATAAACCTGTGCCCCGATGAATATGACCCAAACGCAGGAATTAATTACATTTAAATAATTCAGTTTTAGATAACATGGTCACGCGTCTAAGAATATAGGATTGGTAAAGCATTGATAAAACCCTAACAATATATTTCGTCAGATTTTATTTGTCTTTTATGCATTGCTATAACTTTCATCCGATCGCAACGAAAATTTGGGAAGTTGTTGCGAGTACTCCTGGGGAGGTTTCTGCCAAAATTGTGCAATTAGTCGCCCAGGTTTATCCGTTGAGTTTGTTTTAAACAGTGCGATAGACTATGAATAAGAAGTAGTATTATGTTCGTTCACTAAAAAAGCGCGCTCCATCATCTAGTAAGAATTTGGTAGAGTGTGTGGGTTTTAAAGTCACTACAATTTTTTAACGGTTACACAATCGTACAATACTCTTTAATACAGTTGGTTTCTTTTATAAGTGGTAACGTTTACTAACTCCAGTAATCCTGGATAAATACTTCCAATTTCAGCAAGAAAAGGGACGGCGCCTTTGGCGTCTGCCTCCCCACCCGTAGCTACGCCTTTGGTTGACACCGTTCATGGGGAGTTGATGAAATTCAGCGCCCCGGGCTCACTCGTGAGCACTATTACGCCTACATTTTAAGTGCGTTAGGCTATGAATACAATGGGTTGCTGTAGTCACCCACTAAATCTAATCAGGCGCGTACTTGACACCTGCCGGTCGCCGAAATATGTTCTACCTTAGGTAAACCCGTACCCCGACAAATATGATATAGCGCAGGCATTATTTATATTTAAATAACTCAGTTTATAAAACAAGGTAACACGTCTAAGAGTTGACGATTGGTAACGTACTTATGGTATATATATATATATATATATATATATATATATATATATATATATATACTATATATATATATATATATATATATATATATATATATATATATATATATATATATATATATATATATATATATATATATGTATGTATGTATGTATATATATATATATATACATATATATATATATATATATATATATATATATATATATATATATATATATATATATATATATATATATATATATATATATATATATATATAAAGCAATGTATGTTTATGTGTCTGTGTGTCTGTCCTTTATGCATTACTACACCTCTCATCACATTGTCGTGAAACTTTGGGAAGTTGTTGAGAATATTTCTTGGGAGGTTTCAGCGGAAAAAAATTTAATATTCGCAGGGGTGGCGCCCCGGCGGGGCGCAATTTGTTTTTTCTCTATATACGGTATATAAAAATAAAAGTCGATTTTGGTTTGACATCGTTCATCCGATAGTCATGAGACTTTGGGGAGTTCATTATAAAACTCTAGGGAAGGGTTCTGTAAAAAATCATTTTTAATTTCGCCAGGGCGGCGCCACGGGATGTTGCGATTTTTCTCTATATACGGTTTATAAAATTCGGTTTCACGCCGTTCATCCGTGTACCTTAAACTTTGGGGAGATGATTAGATCACTCAATGGTAGGGTTCTGCAAAAAAAAATATTGTTTAATATTGTAAGGGCGGCGCCACCGTTGGGGAGCGATTTTTTTTCTCTATACACAGCATATAAAAAATAAAACTCGGATGCTATGAAACTTTAGGGAGTAGATGAGAATACTCTCGAGAATATTTCTGCGAAAAAGAAAAACTAAAGTTTCTTATGGGCGGCGCCATATAGGGTACAACTTTCGTCAATACACGGTTTGGCGCCCAGAGTTTTAGAGCGACTATGTTGGCACTTGGCATCCGTTAATCGAGCGTCCTGCATAGGAAGTAAGGGGTACTACTATATTCAGCGGTAAAACTACAACAGGCTTCTAAAAATAACTTTGTAACGCGAGGAAATCCTTCTGAACAGTTTCGTCACCTTGCGAAAGATGAAAAAATAACTTTTTGAATATGAGGAGCCTACTGTAGAGTTTCGTCACTTTGAGAATGATGCAATATGCTTCTATTATTAGACAATCCAGTAAGAAATTGAGATCGAGCATCTAATAAAAGACCATTAGTAACGCTAGCATATTGCATCAGTCACACTGATATTTAAAATACGTGAAATAATTTTTTTTACGTGTTAAAGAAAAAAATCCTGATCATTTGTGTCACTTTAGCGAATGACGAAATCTGCATCATTATTAACAGGATGCTATTTGGCACGATGGCGCCTGTTAGTTTTAAGGAGCCAGGGGTCGTACGCTGCGCTTATGCGGAAGTGTAATTGGGGGGTGGGGGCCCTGAGAGCGCCCCTCTTCGTCTCTGACACAGAGGCGGTCACCGAAGTGTGTTCTATCATATTATTTCGGTGAGTGATTAATGTACACTCAAGGTTTTCATGCGGTAGTGTAGGTAAACCCGTGTCCTGATATTTATGATCCAAGCGCAGGCATTGTTTACATTTAAATAACTCATTTTTAGAAAAAAAGGTCACGCGTCTAAGAACATATAATTATAATTGTTAACGGGTTGGTGAAATCCTAATATATTTCGTCAAACTTTCTTCTATCCCCGCGGCAACGCGCGGGGGTCGGGTACGCTAGTATATATATATATATATACATATATATATATATATATATATATATATATATATATATATATAAACCAGCGTACCGTGTTGCGCGTTACTGTGATGTACTCCTACACACCAAAGTAATGAAACATTATAATATAAGGGTTTCATCAACGACTCTAGGACCCACGAGAACAATTACCCCCTGCCCCCATAGGTTATTAGATAAATTATTCCCTGTTGAATATAAGACAGTTATTTATAAAATTGGGAGATTGAGATTGATAAGTCTTAGTGCTAATATAATATGTATTGATATACCTTAAAAAACCTACTAATGTGTTATTTTCTACTTGAGGATATGAAGAATGTATGGGGCAGTAAAGGTTAGGAAAAAGTAAAAGAAAATGGCAGAAGATTTGCTTACTTGTGAGTCACAAATAACTTAGTAATTAGATGGAGTCTCATCACAAAAGAATGCATAATCTATTTGGGCATCGCCTGGCTTGTCTACAGAAAACCAGATAGGCCATTTATGTGTTATAAAACGTTCAAGATGTACGTGTCAAGAGAGGAGCTGATGTTGATTTAGACCATCACGTTCTTATTGCTAAAGTAAAATTCAAGCTGAAGAAGAACATGTTGGAAAACAACAGAAACACATACACGAATCAGAAAAGACAAACACAATCATATCAAATTGCTGCCGAGTGAAGCAGAAGAAGCCCTCTACCAAGGGAATGATAAGGACCTTTATAATACAATGAAAATGATACAGGATATAAGTAAGCCGTAGAGGCCAGTGAAGACAAAAAAATGGAATGGTAATACCTTTTACAGAAGGACAGATGGGAAGAACACTTTTAAGAGCTATTAAATATTAACTCCATAGTGTATGAAAGATATACCACCAGCTGAAAGTGATCTCCATATCGACTGTAACCTACCTTTAAAAGAAGAGATACATAAGGCCATAAAGTAACTTAAATATTGAAAGATTCCGTTATCTATTGCAGCTAATTGTTTTAACACCCCACATGTTGTTATTGATCCTGTGCATACTCAATCTATTATTATTGAAAGTGTGCTTTCAGTTCAGCTATTGCTATGGATTGTGTGCCTTTTTATTGTACACTCATTGTTACTGATTATGTTCCTTCAGCTACTGCTGTAGATAACTATTATTGAAAAACATTAAAAATTTGGTCCATACGTTGAAGGTATTTTTCCTTATATAAGGTATATATCCTGAGTGTCTGAATTTTTTTTTTTTTTTACTTTTAACGACTGAAAAATTCATAACTTTTGTTTAAGGTCTGATTTTAAAATTAAAACTGATCTAGATCTATAATCTGATTGCCAGCCTCTATCCATGCATGCAACTATTAAGTGTTTGCATTGGCTTAGCTATTGTTTGTTTGATTCGGGGAGTTTAGATTAATCCTAGATCTAGAGTAGATCTGGATTTGGATCTAGAATCTAGATCTAAATTGTTTGACTACTATACTGACTTCTGTTAGGCTGAGTATAATAATCTATAATATAAGTGGGTTGGTAATGTGTCAGTCATTCCTTCCGTCATAGGTATAGATTTTGGAACCATAAAAGTAAACACACCACATGTCGTGCTTTTTACTTGCATCACAGTGTCTTGTTATAAGTAATAGAGAAGGTTTTGTTTATATAACGACTTAAATGTATTTTATAGTTACCACCGTTTTAACCCTTTCGCATAACGTAAAGAAAATATTAAATACACGCAAATCGCTAAAACATATTAAACGGATGTCAAATATCATTTATGTTTAGATTCCTAGAAAAAGTGGATACATTTTAATAATAATAATGTCGAAAAAACTAATTAATTAAGCTGTATTATAATTTTGCCAAAGAGGTAATTTTAAAATAAATTCAACTCACGCTAATTTAAAAAATGTTAAAAATCTCTCTCTCTCTCTCTCTCTCTCTCTCTCTCTCTCTCTCTCTCTCTATGTGTGTATGTATGTGTGTAAACACAATAACTTGAGTACCGTTACATCAAGTTTGATGAAATTTCATATATAAGTATTATATCAAAATCGTAGATCCGTATCAACTTTTTAGCGATTTTCGATAAGCCTATAACATGAGTACTATTTCAGAATGATAAATGAAATATCACATGTTAGTAAAATATCTAATTCCCTGCCTTCTTTAATGTTGAGTAATTTCAGTTGACCGGAAGTAGTAATTTTTGCTATTTCCGATTTCCAAAAAAAAAAAAAACTTGTTAATTTATAAAGTACTAATAATATTCCGCAATAATATACACATTTTGTTAAGCGTTCACTTTGGTGTGCAATTCTTTTTTCTATAAGATTCTATTCTATTTTAAAGAGTTTAAGTAATTAATAAACCGGGAGTGATCTCCCCAAAACTTTCTCGAATATCTATATATATAATTGTCTTCTGGGAGCCGCTAAAAAACAAGCTGTAAACGCGATCCCTACCTCCCCACCCCTACATGATCTTAGTGAGCTGTGTTCACTCTAAATGTTTACAAGCAGAGCCAACGATTTCAAACGTAAAAGGGGGGGGGGGAGAGGGGGGGGAAGGAAGGAGGGGGGTTATGGTCCTTATAGTGTTTTAAAGAAATAAAGAAATATTTTCAGTGTCAGCGTTGGTACTGTCGAATTCACAAATTATGAATTACTGAAAAGTAGAAAATAAAACAACTAAATAGCGGCGTATGTTATGCCGCGGGCCGGCTCGTTCTTATATAAAATAACAGGGGATGGGAACTCAGGCTATAGACATGATTTTTAATCCATTTTAAATACTTAAAGTTTTAAAAATAGAATAAAATCTCGTAGACAAAAGAATTGCACACCAAGAGAACGCCGAATAAAAAAAGTGCATAATAGTGCGCAATATTATTAGTACTTTAAAAATGTACATTAGTTTTTTGAGAAATCGGAAGTAGCGTAAATTACTACTTCCGGTCAACGGAAATTACTCAAAATTTAACAGAAGGTAGACAATTAGATCTCTTACGTACATGTGAAATTTCATTTATCTGTCTGAAATAGTACTCAAGCTACAGGCTTTTGAAAAATTCAAAGTAGAAAAAGTTCCACTTCCGGTTATCGGAAATCGTTAAAAAATTTAAACGGATCTACGATTTTGATAACATACTCATATTTGAAGTTTCATCAACCTAGCTGTAACGGTACTCAAGTTATCGTGTTTACAGACACACAGACATACGGACAAGATTGCAAAATTGTTTTTTCCGTATCAGTGAGGTGTAAAACGTCGAGATTTGAAAAAAATCTCGATTTTTTTTTGCACGATTACAAGACTTTCTCTATACTTCGTCTATAAAAACTTACAGGAAAAAAAATAAAGTAGTAATATTCATTAAGACAGTCTCAAGACAAACATCGTTTGATCAGCCCTCTAGTAAATTAACGTTAAAACGGTCCTTAGGTTTCTCGGGTTTTTTAATAGGGCACAAATGGTAGAAAGAGATACACACCTCTCACCATCCCCATCCCCCCCAACCGGAATGGCGCATAAATCAAGGGAAGCGTACGCTCATCACTAGGTGTCAATTTTGTGTCATGGAAAATTTTGGATGGATAGATTAGTATGAGTTTTACATTCAGTTTATGCCGTGATAAAAATTCAGCCCAACGCCTTGGGAAATCGAGAAGCTGTTGGATACTCCGGCCCAACATACATATCAATCAGATCCGGTAAACATTCCTCATCCACAGCACTTTGTCATGGACTTGATTTTGAAAAAATTACTTACTTTACATGAATTTGATGATATCACAAAGAGTGGTGTGGATCAAATTGTTAAACCAATATTAGTGTTGACGGTGGATGGTGGGCCAAACGAAAACGCTAGGTATCAAAATGTCATTAAAGTTGCGGTACACCACTTTCTCAATCAGAACTTTATGGGTTTGTTCATTGCTATCAATGCACCAGCAAGAAGTGCATTTAATAGGCTGAAAGGAAAAAGGCGCCACTTAGCAATGAGCTCGCAGGTTTAATTTTATCCCATGACCACTACGGCAGTCATTTGAACGAAAGAGGAGTCACAATAGACACAGATTTAGAGAAGAAGAATTTTCAGTTTGCCGGAAACACTTTGTCAGAAATATGGTCACACTTGACAGCATGCATAGATCCAAAAGAGTCTGAACTCCTTGAAACTTCTATGCTCTGAAAGGATACGAGTTAGCATGATATTCATTTGTGAACTAGCCAGTATTTGACTCCGTTAAATGCATGGATAGTAAATGTTGCTCAAAGCCTAGAAACTCGTATATTAGCTTAATAACTGATAGATTTCTTCCTCCACCATAGTAATTTTTTTCAAAGTTAATATATATATATATATATATATATATATATATATATATATATATATATATATATATATATATATATATATATATATATATATATATATATATATATATATATATATATATATATATATATAGGCCTATATATATATATAGGCCTATATATATATATAGGCCTTTATATATATATATATATAGGCCTATACATATATATATGGGGGGAGGGCCTAAAAAAGAATTTGTCGGGTGACCATTTTTATATAGTTCCGCCACTGATTCATCCCACCTTTTTTAACCAACAATGTTTGGCAGGTCCACTCCACTAATGCCAAACGCAACACCACAAAAAGTTGCTGTTCTACTTACGGTCAAAGTCGTCACATTCATACCTGTTTGACAGTTATTCCTATTTCAAAATACCAAATGTGTCTACATCATATTCCTCAGACACAATCACAACATACCTATTTTTCAATTTCTAAACATTCTACAACATCAGCTAACAATCATAGCTAAGTTCCTTAAACACAAAGCAAAGTTCACGTTAACTAAACTAATTAATTAACTAAATCTTGTCTTGCACTTGGCCCCAATGATTGCCTTTTCACAACAGTTCTAGATTTCAGATCTTGAAGGAAAATCATAGAAACACACGGTCCGAGTGTTAACAATCACAAGCACTGTTCTTGAATAACGTAAAGAATCATAGAATCATCAACAGTACCTTTTATACACAGTCCTCAGTGTGTTTTCGGCGAATCTATCTAAAAATAGAAATTATTCCCTGAAACAGTCACAAAGCTCAGTGTATTCGAATACTGTTTATTGGCCCTCCCATTTCTGGCCTACACACGTTACACATCTCTTCACGGGTCTTGAAATATACAGCGTGACGTCACTTTTTGTGCAGCCGTAGTTAGGCCTATACGAAGGCTCTAGTCTCTCCACTCCTTTACTAGAGGTGCACTGAACCTGTGTCAGACGCAGTTGCGGATTTAAGGGGGGTGCTGAAAGGGCTGCAGCCAGGGGCCCCAGATTTTTAGGGGCCCCAAATTTACCGCTTAATTGTTGGTTTTTCACTATAAAAACTGAAGTGTTAATGTTTAGATAAAGCGGACGCTCCCTAAAAATAACATAGTCTAGACCAGAGAACGCTTATGACAATAAAATGAGTCGTTTTTAGCGTTAAAAACACATACAGCAGTCGAATTGTGATACATGATTGACCCATTTTTTAAAAATACATAGGCCTAGCAATTAAAAGTTGTTTCGTCAGATCGCTTCACTCGGCGGTAACAAAAATATATAAAATAATACTGTAACCTATATGCCTCCAGGGTTTACACTATGAGTTATTTCTAACTCTCAAGCATTCAGACAATCAGGTTGTTGCTTTATTTGCCGAATTATTAAGAATTAAAACAGAAACTAGAAGGCAGGTGGGAACTACATAGACTATGGCAATGTTTATTTCAAGAGTACAGACAATTTTCTTTTAAGGCCATAGCTCATTAGCAAAGGCAGATTAGGGAGTTAAACAGGAGACACCCAAATTCGGGGGCTCCAAAAAATTTTCTTATCAACAACAGTAAAAATAATTTTCCTTTTGATTTTCTTATAAGCTATTTTCTTCTAAATTTACAAACACAAACGAAGGAGTTTTTTTTCTCTCATGAAATATACGTCTGTCACTTAGTTGGACATCAACCCCCATGCTCTAAAGTTTACACTTTAGCTGTCATCGCTTCATGTCAAACAATTTATATTTAACGTAAGCTCTTCCTAAAATAGTAATGAGTTTCTGATTGATCTTGCTTAGCTAACAGACAGCATCGAGTCAAGGAAAGCAACAGACGTAACAGAACAGAACGCATAAGCACTATCGAGCAAATACCCAGTCAAACCACTTCATACGCCAGCGTGGTTTCATCCAATAAGCCGGACAGGTCAAGTATCAAACGACCACCAGTGGAATTATCAGCCCCCCAAGCCCCAAATCAACCAAGGCGGACCAGGCAAGGGAGACAACTTAGAAAGACTCACAATCATCACCCTCAACATCCAGGCATTAGACATAAAGATAAGCACTTAAGGCAACTAATACACACTTATACACCAGACTTCATAGCAATACAAGAAACTAACTTCAAAGACAAACACACAGCGGACAGATTCACACTTAGCCTAGGACTCACTCTAGCATATCCTAGTCTAAGGAAGATCAAAACAGGTAGTGGTACATCCATATCCAATACCTCCAATCATTACAAATTAAAAGACACGTACAATGACACTAATGGAAAACTAATAATAACGACTATACAGGGACAAACAGGGACACTAGCAATAGTTAACGTACACGAACAGACGGAAAAACGAAACACAAACTACTATAATGATCTAAACAAACTGCCGACAACAAAATACAAACATACTACTGGGGGATTTTAATTGTATAGAAAGAACGATAGACATATTTGGACCCACGGAAAAAATAGACGTATAGAACGAGACAGAGCTCAGGTAAAACTGATTCAAAACATTACAACACACTTCAACCTAGTTGACAAGTTCAGAACATTATACCCCCACTCACTACAATTCACCCGCGGTAACAAATCACAAGGTAACTTAGCTAGGCTAGACAGGATATATGCACCACAGGACATGAAAATAAACAGAGCGGAACACCTTACACACACCCTACAATTTAGCGACCACAGCGCAGTAATAACAACACTAAACAATTTTGAACTAAAACTTAAAAGAAACACACCGTGGAAACTAAATAACTCACTACTCTCAGACGAAAGATACAGATCGAGAATTAAAGACACTATTCAATTTTACATACAATCAACGCCTAGGATAGATAAAATACAACACTGGGAAGACTTCAAAACAGATATCAAACAACTATACAAATAGCCAAAAGCATTAACATAATTAGACAAGACAGGGGAAAAAGAATAGAAGACCAACTAAAAACACTTAAGAAAACAAATAGCAGTAGGGAAGACATTGACGCATTAGAAAACCAACTGACAGAAATACAAGAATATAAATACAGAGGAGCGCAAATAAGAAGCAAAATAGACAGGATGTGATCAGAAAACCCTACACACCACACACTCATACTAGAACAAAGCATACAAAGATCAAAATAAATCAAACAAATAATGGACGGAGAAAATCAAGAGACGACAGACCCTGAAAAGATACAATCCTTATTTACGGACTACGACAAACGCGAACCGACACACAACGATAAACAAGACGAATACATATGCAACATCAAACCACTAGACGACAACGACAAAAACATAATAGATACACACTGTAACTTAGACGACATTAAGAAAGCCATTAAAAAACTTAACGACAATAAATCCCCCGGACCCGACGGCATGACAAGTGAATTCTACAAAACTTTCATCACAGACTTAATCCCCATCCTATTAGATACATTTACAGAAATATACATGCTAGAACAGTGCCATGAAAACTTCAATACATGATACACAACACTCATTCACAAACCAAAAACAGACCCTAAACTTACCAAAAACTACAGACGCATCTCACTCCTAAATACAGATTACAAAATAATAACCAAAGCACTCTTAGCCAAATTAGAACCATACCTACCAAAACTAATACATACAGACCAACAATGCAGTGTCACAGGCAGAAACATACTGAACCACAATCACCTAATTAGGGATACAATATACACACGAGAAAAACACGCAAGCCTGCATTTTAACATTAGACCAAGAAAAAGCATTTGACAGAGTTTCACATAAATACCTACACAAAGTACTCAAGACAAACAATTTAGGAAACTATTTCACCACTTGGATCAAAATAATGTACACAACCGCCCAAAGTCACCTTCTTATAAACAGTGACATCACCAGACCGTTTAGTATAGGCAAATCAGTTAGACAAGGATGCCCCCTATCACCCATATTATACATTTTAACCTTAGAACCATAATTAGAAAATATCAGACAAAACGCAGACATTAAAGGAATAGACATACCGAACTCGACGAACAAAAAGATATTAGCATACGCAGAAGACACCGCCTTTACATTGCAGACAGAAAACTCAATAAAACTAGTAGTAGGAAAATTCATTGACTACGGACAGGCTAGTGGGACTAAAATCAATTTAGACAAGACAGAAATTATGGGACTAGGACGATGGAAAATCAGACAAACATACCCACTGAACATGACGACCAAAAACGATTTACACATATACGGCATAACACACCAGAACAACCCCTCACTAGAAAATAACAAAATATGGAAACAGACTATAAACAAAATCAAGAAAACTATAGACTTCTACAAGTATAGCACAACCACAATTTTTTCAAGAGCCGCAATCACAAACAGATACATCATACCCAAAATAACATACATCGCCACAGCACAAACAATCCCAAAATCAACAATCAAAGAAATAAACAAGCACATTAGGAAATATATATTTCAACACACTATAAATAACATTAGCCACAACACACTAGTTCAAAGCAAAATACATGGGGAAATAAATCTACACGACATACAAACTAAAATAAACACATTTAGGCTAACACATGTAAATAGAATAATTAGTGAACCACAACACGACCCATTAGCACATTACTACATAGGGATAAAAATAAATAAACATATTAAAATTAACAATAACTCCCAACATTTCATAGGACAAAAATTAAACAATTTCTACACAGAAAAGAATGCATACAAACTTCAAAAACAAACGAAAACCTTTTTAAAAAAAATATCCCAACATATTTATAGAAAATTAGTACAGAAGCTTGCCATCCCACTTTGCAATAAAATATCTTGGTGTAGGACATTCGCTCTAACAGACACAACGGACACCTTTGGAAACCTTCACCTCAAAACAATAACACCTAAAGAAAGGGAACTAGCATACAGACTGATTCACAACACACCACTGAGACATGGACACCAACACAAGACCAACACACCACTAGTGTTACGGATCAGTTGTAGGTTAGACTAGAATAGTATAGAATGATCTAGAATTAGGGGAGAGTGAGTGTGTGAGTTGAGTTTACCCTAGAATATTGTTAACCCCGGTGTGTTTGTGTATTGTTATCCCAAGGTCGAATGCGGTATAAAAGCTGGAGTGAATGGTTGTCAGGGGTTAGTTAGTTGGTAGCGGTTAAGTCGAGGGCTATGCTGTAATGTGATTGGTGAGACCTAATAAACGTATTGAACGTTAACCCGAGTCGGTCTTGAATTCGAATCTAACCTGGACGTAACAACTAGCGACACACAAAAAAAAAAACCCCTATGTCATCTATGTAAACAAGACACTCCAGAAACAGATACACACATCTACATAGACTGCCCAACCATCCAGACCATGAAGAAAACTTAAGAAATAATAATAAGGAATAAGAACGAGACTTTCAACGTTGACATAGGGATAACTTTAAACAAATTACCTAGACAGCAAGACAGGACTATATTGAAACATAAAATAAGGACAGTAGCAATGTACAGACAAATAATTTGGAACTGCAGAAATAGGGCAAAATACAATGAGACAGATTTTAACAGACAGACTTTGGCCTTGACATTTAGCATACGACTTGACAGGGACAACACACGAACACACACGCTATAAATAGAACACCACAGCTGTTAGGTCACGCAACACTGCTCCCGGTGC